AGGTGTAGCTCAGTGGATTGAGCATGGGCCTGTGAAGCAAAGGGTCGCTGGTTCGATTCCCAGTCAGGGCACATGCCTGGGTTGTAGGCCAGGTCCCCTGTAGGGGACACATGAGGGGCAACCGCACATTGATGTTTCTCTCCCACTCTTTCTCCTTCCCTTCCCATCTCTCTAAAATAAATAAATAAATGGAATATTTTTTAAAAATTAGAAAGAGATCTATGAAGCCTACCAAGTATTGCGAGAATATAGAAAAAGTATTTACAAATCAGTAAGATAAACAATCCCATTAACCGCCCCCCCATTAATTCATAGAAAAGGACCACTAATGGATAAAAATAAATGAAAGTGTTCTCAACTACAGCACTAACTGGGGAGATGCAAATAATACTACAATGAGGTACCATTTCATATTCCTCAAACTGGCAAAACTTAAGTCTAAAATATTTGGAAGGTAGGAAAATGGATGGTCCTATCCATTACTGAGACACATTGGAGAGAAACTGGTAGTTATCTAACAAAGTTGAAGAAGCAGCATCTATCTGGGTTCTAGAGCAAGCTACTGCTGCTACTAGACATGTCCCAGGGCAATCTTCCTCAATGTTGGCTGTTAGCTGTAATAATGAATGGGGGGGGGGCACTAACTGAATGGATGCCAGGGGTGCCAAGCAATCTTGGTGGGTACAGATAATGCTGCCTCATGTCTTTTGAAGATTCTGCTGGGCACTGATTTAAGGGAACAAGGGAGAGAAAATATAAGGTCAGATACTTATAAACAGAACTTAACACAAAATATTTGTGTTTTAATGCAGATGATTTTTAAGAATTCATCCACGGATTAAAGAGATGATCACACTTTCATCAACAGTGATGGCAAACTCAAGACACCTGTTTTAATCTGCATTAGTAGCTGTCCTATTCATGGTGATACTACCCACTGGTGCAAAGCAGCTGACTACTACTATTTCTTCTAGCAGTGCTTCTTAGACTTAAATGTGCACACAAATCCCCTGAGAATGTTGTTAAAATTCAGCATCTGAGTTAGTAGGGTAGGGCCTGATGTTCTGACTTTAACAGGCTCCAAGAATTCTGATGTTACCAGTGGTTGAGCCCCTGCATCTTATATTACTTTGCTATAAATTACTTCTTATATTTTAGTAAGCACATTACTTTAAAATATGAATGTTAGTTTATTATGAACTTTATTTTATGACAGTATTGGGGAAATTGCAAAATATTTCTATAAAAATGAGATATATAGGGTTGAGAAGCATGTACCTAAGTAAAACATATACAAGAATGAGCAAACAATTGGAAATAACTAAAATGACCAACCAAACCTGATACAGTCACACAATGTGGAACACATAGCATACTTTAGTAAAAATAAAGGAACTAGAACTACCTGAATAAATAGAAGAATCTTCGCAAACTGAGTGAAGAAAGCAAGCTGCAGGAAGGATATATGTCAATTTGGAGTTAGTGGTGTGGAATGGGGGAAAGGGTATAGGATTTAAAGGAGATATATAAAGTACTATAAGAAAGCTTCATCTTGTTTTGTAGTTTTATCTCTTCAAATTGGTAATGGGTGCACAGATATCCATTTATGTTGTACGTTGCCAACGCTTCTATCGCTGTATTATTTTTCTCATTTTACCTGAATTGGTAAAAACTTCTTGGGTCTAGCCAGGTGTTTGGAAAAATACTGATCCAGAGGTAAAGGATTCAGAACTAGATGTCAGAAAGCACAGCTTCAAGTCTCAATTCTGCAGCTTACAAATTGTGTGCCTTTAGGCAATTCAAATAATTAAATTCTCTGGGCTTTATTTCATTTGTTAAAAAAAGTCATAAACATTATTCTTCCTAACTCACAAGGCTGTATTTGAAAGGCATATAGGGCAATGTGTGTGAGAAATTTTTAATGGGGTACAAGACAAGAGGCAGGTATAATTTTTGTACAATAAGAGCAAATACCTGGATACACTGGAAATAAAATCTACTGGTAAATAAGCCAAACAAGTTAATTTGTTACTCTTTTCTTGTCATCACTGATTCTAAAGATATAACATCAACCTTAACATGGAAGGAACAGAGTTTATCAAGTCCTAAGTGGCATACAAAAGGAATTTCCTCTACCGAAACTTCATGCTAATTTTCACCAAATTGAAATTTATAACACCAAAACAAGAAAATTGAGCGACAGAGTACTCTTATCTAACTAAAACAAAGTCATATAACCAGAATAACTGTTGATTCCCACTGCCCTTTGTATGTAGTGAGCAGGCGGGTCATTTTTATTAGCCCTGTATCACAGAAGGAGAAACTGACTCAGATATTGGATAGCTGGCCTGGAATTACAGACCAATTCTAGGTCCATTTAGCTACCAAAAACATTTTGTCATGATACTTTATGGTAATTTTTTTTGTCACAGGGGTACTGAAAATTGTTAATGTCATTTCATACACATTTCAAAATGGGCAAAAACACTGAACAAAACAAACCCCTTATCTACTACCAGTACCGTACGGCGAGGGACAAAATTAAAACTGCCTAGGCCTGCTAAAAATCTAATCCCATCCTTGCCAATTAACCTTATTAATACTAGAGTAGGAGAAAAGAGAGGTCAAAACATGGGTGAGGGTGCTATTCATTTCCTCCACCTCAAGTCATATTGCAATTATTACACAACAGGGGTTCTACATTTTTTTTATTAGTGGAAACATAGCTATCTGCACTGCTTCAAGTAACCCACCACTCTCACTCCTAAAATAGAAATTTATCAACCAAGAATTGGACGGTCTTAAATTAGACCACTGCAATTATGGCTATTATCAAAACATTGGTTATTAGATATTAGACATTATTACCAAAGTGACTTTATGCTATAAAAATGTGAGAAACCTTTAATGAAGAAAAGTTCGTTTTAAGTCTCCCTATTAATGTAAACAGATGAATGCTATTACCATATGTACCTGACTTCTTACTCAAATTCATTTCGGTAATTTAAGTCTTACAAAAAAAATCAAATGAATCATCTTGCGGATCAAGTATTATTATCACAAAAAGTATCGAACAGGAATACCTTTTCATAAACTGCCAAAATTTAAAGGTCACCCTCTCTGTAGTCCGTTATTCATCCTTTTATTTACCAAATCCACCTTACACTAACTTAAATCAAAGCATCGTTTAAAAAAGTTACGCTTAGGCACTGGCAGAAATTTCCCCCTGGATCATGAATATAAGTTTTTTCTTTTTTTTTTTTTAAACAACACGCGGGGTTAAACTCTCTCTTCATAATACCTTCAAAACAATACAATCTAACTTGACAGAACTTTCGTTTCAGGGTTTAAGAAAATCCAAACATAAAGCCCAATTACCCAATTCAAAATTCCCGACGCATCTACCTAGAGTTCAAAAATAGGTAAGATTTAAGTTCACCCACCTAGAGAAAAAGAACCCTATCGCCCGACCGAAATACACAAATCACTAAGCACCCGGCAGATTCGATCTCAAATCGAGGCTGACACACGAGGACATTCAGGAGAAAGCTCTTCGGTACCGCGAATCTCATAGTGAACCTGACCTCACCTGTCGGTCCACAAGGAGAATGCAAAGGAAGTGATATGAGACCCTCTTCGGCGAGAAGGACCTAATAAGACCTTTCCTAGTCTGTCAGTCCGTCCCTCCCTGCCCCCAGATTCCCGCAACCAGGCAGACCCCTGGGACCCTACTCGACCTTTCCCTTCCACTGAACCACTGGAGAAGCCTATCCAAAATGCAGACCCAATCCGGAGGGGCTTCCCCGCCTTTGCCCGGAGTCCAGCGGGATCCCGGTCTCCAACAACAAAGACGCCTCCCGCTCCCTTCCCCCAGCCCAGCCGGCAGCTTCTGGCCCCTCGAACGCTGCGGCTCCGGGCCTAGCGCCCCCTCCTCAATCTCGGTCGCAGTGCCCCAGCGCCCGCGGCCTCACGCACCTGCACCTGAGGGACTGCAGCCAAGGTGTCTGGCAGAAAGGGCTGGGAGGGAAGCTTTGCCGACGCGCTGTCCTCCACAAGGCGCGATCCCCGAAGCTGCCGCCGCGGCTGGATTCTCCCAGAGTGTGGACGGGCCGGGCCCAGCAGGAGAGACGAGAGCTGCTGTCCCCGGCGACCGGACGAGTAAAGACGGCAGTGCCCCAGAGGGCCCACTCGCGCTCCCGAGTCCCGCCTCCTCGCAACGGCCCAGCTCCTCCACACAGGCTCGTGTTCTGCTGACTAACGGCCCCGGCGCAAGGCGCTGGAGCTGCCCCCGCCGCCGGCTGCTCTCGGGCCTTAGGTCCCGAGTGGCCGTGGTCGCAGCTGCCGCCGCCGCCACCACCGCCGCCCCTTCTGGCACTGCAGCCACCACCCAGACCCAGCCAGGTCTTTCTTCTCTTCAATCCTCCTTTCTTTCCTCCTTTTCAGCCTGGCAGCCGCCGGGCTCGCCCTCGTGGCGGGAGGAAGGCAGGAAGGGAAGCAAGGGGCACGAGCAGTGAGGACTCGCTCAGCCAGGAGTTGGTCACTGACTGGATGAAGATGCCAGAGCTGACCCGGGCTCCAGCCTGCAAGCTGGCCGGGGGAGGGACGCAGCCTAGCTTCGCCCGACTTTCACCAATCACAATTCGTCATGAGGAGTTGGGCGCCAGGAGAGGCTGAGCTAAGTCGGCAGGAGGCGGGGATTGCGGAAAAGAAGGGCCAATAGGAGTAAAAGTTCCCTGTACCTCCGCCCTGAAGAACTGCCCAGTTCGGACCAATGGGGGAATTCTCGCTTCGAAGAAAGGGGGATTTATACGAGGGGTTTGATAGAGATGTTAAGTGGAGGGAGCTAGTTCCAGCTCCGTGCTAGAGCCTCGAAGTTGCTGAAGAGCTGAGGGTGTCCTTTGACCCTCCTTACGGAGTCACGTGGGCTGGCAGGGGCGGGGCGGAAAAAAACCGGATAAGTTTCTTCCGGGTCAGTGACGGAAGCGTCTACTCCGAGAAGTAGTTTCTGGCGTCTTGATCTTATTGCCATCTTCCTTGTCCCAGCGCGTGGTGACTGTGGTTTTGGTGATGAGCTCCCAGAAGGGGAACGTGGCCCGTTCCAGGCCTCAGAGGCATCAGAATACGTTTAGCTTCAAAAATGACAAGTTTGATAAAACTGTTCAAACCAAGGTAGGAACCTGTTGCACGGAATCTGACTCCAGGAAGGAATGAGTGGTTGAGGGGAGGGGAGAGGAAATGAAAGGACTTGGCGAGGGCGAGTGTGGACCGAAGCCCAGAGTTAGTTTTGGCTGCAGTGCAACCCTTTCCAAAATGATATTCCCACACCCTTTCTTTGACCTGGATATGTTGTCTTATAAATGTATTTGGCAGTCAACACTTAAATAATACCACAAAGAGTGAATGGGGCCCTCGGCAAACCTAAATTGCAAGTGGGAAAATTGAGTTGTTTAACACTCCCATCTGGTTCACATATTTGCCGTAGGAGAACGAGGGTTATGGCTCGAGAGTCAGAGTTTGTACAAAGTTTATGCAGCAACCATTTCTTCTTGGAAAATCGTAAGCTCACAGATTTGTAGGAAGAATGTGAAGGAAGGATTGCTTGCTTTTAGCCCTAGTGCCCTCACCAACATAATGGGTAGAAGACGATTTTGTAAAGATTGTTTTGAGGATCGAACTGTGTGATTAATACATAAAAAGCCTGATTTACTTTTTATAAGTGATTTACTTTTTAAAAATAATTTATTTATTTATAAAGAGAGGGGAGGGGGAGAGAGAGGAAGAGAAACATCAATGTGTGGTTGCCTCTCACACATGTGCAATTGGGGAACTGGCCCACAACCCAGACATGTGCCCTGACTGGGAATGGAACCAGCGACCCTTTGGTTTCCGGGCCTGGTGCTCAACCCGCTGAGCCACACCAGCCAGGGCTCATTTACTTCTGCAGCAGGATTTCAGTAAGCTGGAAGAAAATTCAGACTTCCTATATTGCCAGAGGTCTTGGGTTGTATACAGCTACTAATTTGCTATAGGTGTTGCCCCTCCAACTTCTCCATAGTCCTATGAAGAGGAGATAATTGAGATTATCAAAGCCAAGGGCATCTTGGGGCCACCATCACATCAGGTAAACCTGATATCGCATGAACTGGAGTTCAGATTTACCAGATGTGTGATATGAGTGGATTATTTAATTTCTCTAAGCTGTACTTTAGTTTCAAATGAGAAACCTGGCAGGATAGTTGTGAAGCTAAACTAAATGATGTATATATGTGGTCTAGATCATAAGTATCCAAGAATTGATTAAGTTTTCAACATTGAGAAATTAATGTTGAAAGCAAACTATTTATGGTAACTTGTGGTCCCCTTTTCCTTTCCTCTTTCTGTCTTCACAAACTGTACAAATATTTAATTAGCACATTCCATGTACAGGGCCCTATGCTCAAGTGCATACAGTGTTAAAAAGAGTTGACTTTGTTACCCTGGCTGGTGTAGCTCAGTGGATTGAGCATGGGCCTGTGAAGCAGGGGTCGCTGGTTTGATTCCTAGTCAGGGCACATGCCTGGGTTGGAGGCCAGGTCCCCAGTAGGGGACACATGAGAGGCAACCACACATTGATGTTTCTCTCCCACTCTTTCTCCTTCCCTTCCCCTCTCTCTAAAAATAAATAAAATATTTTTTAAAAAAGTTGACTTTCTCTTGAAGGAGTTTATAGTTTCCTGAGTCATTGGACAATAAGCAAGCACAAAGATGTATAGTTATGAATTATAACAAAATTCTGATGAGGGAAAGAGTTTAGTAAAGAGGGATATTTTCAATTAAGTGCTCAGGGAACCTCTTATTTACCTTAGGTTCAGATTCAGAAAAAAACAACAGAACTGAAGCAACATTTGGGAAAAGTTCCCCAAGTTTGTGCCTACTGTCACTAGGTACTAAATAAAAAGATGTGCTGTTCACAATAGATGTCTCTCTGGCCCTGTGTGCTTACTGTAAGTTTTGGCACAAGCATGTAAATCTGATTGTTTTTCATTAAATGATAAAAGGCAGTTTTAATGCCTTTGTTGCTATAGTGTACCTTACTGCCCTTTTTGTGCTTGAGTATAAGACTTCTTGAGCTTGTACTTCTTGAGCTAGCAGTTCTTCGTAGATTTCTTGTACTTTTTCACTGTTCATTTTCTTGGTGTTATCTAGCAACCATGTTATTGTGGTCTTAAATCTTTTCTTGAGTCTCAAGTTTAGTCACTAAGTTTTAATTTCGCTCATTACTTTTATCATTAATTCCTTTGCTTCTTTTTAAATTGTGAGGAAGCCTCATTTGTCCATTGATATAAATACTGGGTGTTTTGTTATTGGAGATGGTGACAAAAACAGCAAGAAATATTTTGCTGAGGAAAGATAATTAGGTTGATTGTTCATCTATCTAATGGAAGACTAATAATTGGCTGCATTTATAGCAAATTCTGGAGCCAGCTAGATGCCACTATTTAAAGCCAAGATTTTGTCAGAAGCATCTGACTCTGACTTCATCCCTCTGCTTTATATTAGAGAGCTGTTTGATTCAGTGACATCTAAGAAAGGAGTGATAAGTTCATGATTCTCTGTAACTCTCCTTAAACAATTGTAGTAACAAAATAACTCCTCATTATTTTGTAGGAGTTCTGCATGATAGTTTTCCTTCTCCTTCTCTCCCAAGCAATTTGTCAGGACGTCAATGAAATTAGACGATGGATAATGACCGATGTTTTATTGGGAAATTTATATAGGTAAAGCACTCATTCCCAAAAGGGCAGAAGTGATAGCTGTCTTTGTATACTTGAATATTTTCTAGAACAGAGAGAATCTTGTTCTGTGGCATTCCAAATAGTCACACCTGGACCAAAATTTCAAACTAGCAGAGGTAAATTTTAGCTTAGTATAAGGGAGTTGTGTAATAGCAAGGAGCTTGCACTGTGAATTTTACACTTTACCTTTGCTGGGGTTATTTGAAAGAGGCCTCTATAGCCATTTGCCTGCAGTGCCCTCTTGGGACTTGAAGGGCAGAAATAGGGTGAAGTCTCTTCTAGTCATTTGGTACTAAAATGTAGATATTAGGACAGTCTTGTGATTCTTACTGGAAAGACAGTGCTGTGTAATGAGACGAATACTAGAATAAGAAAAAGCCACATTTTGACCCCACTTCTCTCATTTATTTTTGATCTACAATATGGGGTTAGTACTATCCGTTCTCATTAAAAATATTTTTAAGAAGTAATGGTACAAATACAAACTAAGTATAAAACATATAATGTATGTGGACTTGCATTTGCTCAAAGCCTAAAAAAATTAGAGAAGAAATGCATACTTGTTGAAAAATGTTGAAATAATAGAGAAATGAGCCCTGGCTGGTATGGCTCAGTGGATTAAGCGCTAGCCTGCAAACCATTTGATTCCTAGTCAGTGGACATACCTAGGTTGTGGGTCACAGCCAGGGACCTTTTGGTTTGCAGTCTGGCCCTCAATCCATTGAGCCATACCAGCCGAGAATTACTTTCATATTAAATAAAGTTTTTCACTATGACAAATAAAGCTGCAGTGAAGTTTTTGTATCACATACTTGTTTCACATCTGTTATAAAACATGCATCTACCTATGGGCATGGAGTTTAGCATAAAATACTGACTTCAATTGAAGCTCATGGGTTTGGTGGGTAAGGTGACAGGTATTAATCAAATAATCTCTCAAGCATTTTAACACAAATGGCAGTAAGGCCTTTGAAGGAAAAGTCTGCTGAAGGGAGCCCTGAGAGTATCTGACAGGAAGACATGATTAAGCTTGGAGGGTTAAAAAGGCTTTCCTGAGATGTGACGGATGCATAGCTTTTTACTAAATAAAATGGAAAGAGCATATAGCATCTTCTGAAGGATGCTATTTTTTTATATATGTATTCAGCATTGTTTTTACTAGCATTCCTAAAATGTTAGGGCTCTAGGATTATAATGATCTCAGTAAGGCAGGGGTCAATTTCATGGTGAAATTACTTTGGAAATACTAAACTAGATTTTACTTTTAGGGAGTCATAGTATACGTTAGTATAAGGCACTCAGTTGTTTTACAGTCTAAGTTGACTTAAAAAAATTAAGTCAACCAAAACTTGCTCGCCTGGGGAAACCTTTGGTTTACGTAATGCCTACTGAACTTGAACTAATTTTGCGGGAGGGGGTTACTCGATTTTGGGAAACTCTTGTCTTTACCTTGAGATGGAAAAGGAAAAGGAAAATTGATGGCTATATACTCTAAATAGTTCTGGAACTGTTGTTAATAACATATTTTATATTTGTGTGTTAGTCACTGTGCACACTTCATGCACATTATCTGATTTGATCTTCAAAATAGCCCTAAGATAATGATATAATTATCCCACTTTACATATTGGGAAATTAGAACTTGGGGTAAATGATGTGTCCAAAGTTATATAACTAGCACACAGCTATCCATTGCTTAGGTGAGATGTATCCTAGGAGATCTCGTAAGACAATTAAAAAAGAAAGCCTTCCTTTGTTTATATGTTTGGTTGTCATTGATTTTTAATACTGTATTTTTGTGCATAATGAAAGCAGTATGACACCAGTTGAATTTATGTTAAGTGTATCTTTCCGCAAATTGACTTGTTATTAAATTCAACATAAATTTTTCAGTTGACAAAGTGACTTAGTCTCTGATGTGCTGGGTCTTATAATATATGAGTACAGAAGAATATTATTCCAAATAAAAGTCATAGTATTAGTGACTATTTGCTATCGTGAATATTTTGAAGTATTCTCTATTATTTACCTCTCGTGTCCCCCTCGCCCACAGCACTAATTCATCCATGCTTGCTATATTCCATATCCTACATATTCAAGGTGCTTTCACTTGAAGCCAGTAAATCGATTTTCTATGTTTCTTAATGTTGAGGCCTACTGCAATATAATTGTTTTTTTCTACCTCAGTCTATGTTTCCTTTTTATTTTTCTTAAAGATTCTATTTATTTTTAGAGAGAGGGAAAGGGAGGGAGAAAGAGAGGGAAGGAAACCTCTATGTGAGAGAGAAATATTGACCTGCTGCCTATAGTGCCCCAACCTGGGACCGAACTGCAACCCAGGCATGTGCCCTGACCAGGAATTGAACAGGCGACCTCTAGCTTTGTGGAACAAGG